AGGGCCTACGTATACCGTATGTGATCCAGCTCGTTGCAGGAACTTCGAAAGCAGATCGATGAGATGATCGACAAGGGATAGATTAAATCTAGTGAATCCGAATCATCGCACCCGTTTTATTTGTGGAATTTTGTCCTCAAGAAAGGAGGCAGACTCCGTACGTGTATTGATTACCACGGTCTAAACTGCATCACAAGGAAAATTGCCTACCCATTGCCATGCATAGATGATTTGCTTGATGTTGTAGGTGAGTGTAAGTTTTTTTCCAAAATCGACCTCAAGGCTGGATACCACCAGATTGTCGATACTACAAACCAGCACAAGATTGCGTTCAAGACACGGATGGGTTTTACGTATTCATTGTACTGCCCTTCAGTCTCACAAACGCACCAGCCACCTTTCAAAGTCTCATGGACAAGGTCCTCCGCGAACAGATTGGTCGATTTGTGGTTGTGTATCTGAACGACATTCTGATTTTCCGCAAATCGATCGAGGAACACATGAAGCACCTCGAGGAAGTGTTCACCATCCTCAAGAAAATGTAGCTCCATCTCAACTTAGAGAAATCTGATTTCAGGAGGGATAGCGTCATCTATCTTGGGCACTGTTTGTCTGTTGCAAGCCTTGAGCCTGAGGCAACTAAGGTTGACGCCATACACAAGTGGCCTCCACCCGCGAACGTTCGCCAATTGCGTTCTTTTCTTGGTCTTGCATCATATTATGAGAAGTTCGCGCCCCGATTTTCTTTTGTTGCTCGCCCATTGTCCAAAGACTCCAAACGAACAAGCAAAAATGTGTCTTACACGTGGATGCAACATGCGAGACCACTTTTCATGCCTTGAAAGAGGCCTTGATAAGTTATCTTGTGTTCGGCATTGCAGATTCAAAAATTACATTCTTTTCTTGGTCTTGCATCATATTATGAGAAGTTCGCGCCCCAATTTTCTTTTGTTGCTCGCCCATTGTCCAAAGACTCCAAACGAACAAGCAAATGTGTCTTACACGTGGGTGCAACATGCGAGACCACTTTTCAAGCCTTGAAAGAGGCGTTGACAAGTTATCTTGTGATCGGCATTGCAGATTCAAAAATTACATTCATTTCTTGGTCTTGCATCATATTATGAGAAGTTCGCGCCCCGATTTTCTTTTGTTGCTCGCCCATTGTCCAAAGACTCGAAACGAACAAGCAAAAATGTGTCTTACACGTGGGTGCAACATGCGAGACCACTTTTCAAGCCTTGAAAGAGGCCTTGATAAGTTATCTTGTGCTCGGCATTGCAGATTCAAAAATTACATTCGTAGTCACTACAAATGCAAGCCAATATGGGATTGGCGCAATGCTGCAACAAGATGATGGTGATGGCCAGCGGCCGCTCGAATACTACAACAAGCGCAAGCCCAACGAAAAGGTAGCCACTTCCACCTACGTACGCGTCTTCTCATATCATGAGACCTTGAAATGGATAAAGGAGCAGACCACCCTGTCCCCCACATTGACTCGCTGGTTCCCTGAGATTGACAGGTTTGACTTTGAATTAAAACACAAAAAGGGTTGTTATAATCGAGTTGCTGATGCATTGTCTCTCCACCCTGAGTATATGACATGCCTTGTGAACTCCTATGACCTCCAGAAAAAATTGAAGGAGGAACTTGTGGAGCAAACAGCCAAGGACCCGGACCTTAGTCCAATCCTTGAGCAGCCGCGGGCTCACCAAGCGGTCAGCCTGCTTTTCACGAAAGGGAAGGCCTGGTTTTCCGACGTTACCGAAAGAATGACCGTATGTGTGTACCCAACCATGAGACTCTCCACACACACTTCTTGGATTTGGCTCACAGTCGGACTTCGGCATGGCGCAGACTTACAGAAACCTAATACAACAGTTTCATTGGCCTAGTATGAAAGGATCTGCTGAGAAGTTTGTGGCTGGGTATAAAGTCTGTCAATGAATCAAACCATCAAGACAAAAGTCCATGGGGCTGCTTAAACCTCTTCCCAATCCCAACGGTCCCGGAGAGAGTGTCTCTATCAACTTCACGGACATGGGAAAGACAAGTAAGAAAGGATATTCACAAGTGATGGTGATTGTTGATCGATTTTCTAAATTCATGAATCTGATTCATTACCACCTTATGCCCCAGCTGAACTTGTGATCCGTGAGTTCCACCAGAAGTACATTCTGCAGTTCGGGACCCCGCAAACCCTTGAGTGATCGGGACCCGTGCTTGATGCGTACTAAATGGAAGGACTTCACGTCCCAACCCCCTGGCCTCAAACTGAGCATGACATCTGGTTGACATCCCTTAGCCAATGGCTCGACTGAGGAGATTAATCAGACCGTGTTTCAACTTCTCCCTGCCTTAATTATTCTGGATCAGGAAACGTGGGATGAAGAGCTACATTCGGTCAAGGGGTTTTACAACAACTCCATCCATTCTTCCACCGGGCATGACGCCAACCAGGCTGCATTACGGTTGGCAGATTCGTAATCCGCTCTCCTACTTATTCCCTGAACTACCAGCTGTTAGCCTGGCAAACCTGGCTTCAGGGCCAAGTATGGTCGCTTGCTCAAGGTTGTCGTTGCAGCAATGACCAAGCGACAACACACCATGATCCAACATGCGAATAAGAAGCGCACACCTTCAACTATCAAAGTGGGAAGTTATGTCTGGCTCAATATGTCCGAGTTTTCGGAAGAATCACGAAAACGTCTCCCTCTCTCTTACGGTCTGTGGGAAGTCTTGCATGTGATTGGTGACGATAAGTTTGGTCCGTTATATGTACCTGTTGTGCCTCCTCATCTGCACACATACCAGTCTTTCATGCATCATAGTTGTTTATATATCCTTATGCTAAATCCTTAGACTGTCGTGAAAACATGAATCAATGGTGGTCACTTAGAGACAGTACCAGATTCATTTAATGTATCACCCGCTGGACGATCTCTATTGGATCTCAAAGAAAGAACTGCTGCACAGCGCACCTTGCGTTGGTAAAGCATACGAGCGGCAGATAGCCACTAATGCTGTACCAAACATTTCTGCAAAACTCACTGCTACAGACTCACAAAATCTCTTTGGTATGTTCGCTTACGATGTGTTTGTCGGGGACTCAGAATGACCTTCTCGCTCGAAGGTACCTCGCTCTTGAGAGGGGGGTTGTGTAATGACCTGCCAAACACGAACTGAGACAAAGCTGATTCTGAGTTTTGCTCATGGAATGTATGCCTTACTGAGTTTCCCACTTCTTGCTGAGTTTTCTAAGTGTGTGTGGGTGCGTGCTTGCTGGTCTGCATGCCTGTCTGAGTGCCTGTCGGCTTGAGTGCGTGTGTGACCCGCAAGGGCACTTGTTTGTTCGGAAGGTCCGAAGGGCCGGTACTTACCTGTGGCCGTGACATTGAGGGTTGCAGCGGGGAAAACACTAAAGTGGCGAGGAAAGAGGCCCGTGACAGCAGAAAACACTCAAGTAGCAGGTAGGCCGGTACCACACCAAGTAGAGGTAGACCGGGCACCAGTCCAACCAGTCTGAGTCTAGGGCCTGTACAGGCAATATCAGAGTCTGCAATGATGTTTCCCTCCAAAAGGGAGGAGGTACCGGTTGCTTGGAGGACGGGCGGCCTAGGAAGTCACTCACCAAGAGGCAAGCAGGCCGCTATATCTCCAGGAGGAGCAAGGTGCTCCTCCTCATTGCCAGTGTGCAAGTTTGGCGACACACTGGCTGGAGCGCTGGCTGGAGCAGTGCTAGCATCAGAGCAGCGCTGCTGGAGAGGAGCAAGGACAGGAGGCGGACGAAGACCAGGACAAAGAGGTAGGAGCGCCAGAGGTACTTACCTAGCTATGGTGGATGCCATCTTCATCACCTTGGTGGGCTGCCTGGCTATGGTGGATGCCGTCTTCATCACCTTGGTGGGTGCTGCATCCGGAAGGCCCCAGTTGGGGTAGAGCTACACCAAGAAGCTTCGAGGCAGATTCCGGCATGGCGGCCTGCGCTAGAGCAGCCATAGCTGCTTTGTGTTGTCCTTTGCACAGCAGGGCAGTGCCCTGGTAGTCCGCCATAGCCTTGGCCGTGGAAGAAGGAGAAAGAAGGGTACCCATGGCTATGGTGAACCTCATGTGATGCCCGCAGTAGAAGAGGAATTCGGACATTGATTCTGGTTCAGCCATTCAACATTACTATTATTATTTCTTGTTTGAATAAGAGAGGAGGAGATAAGGAGGAGGAGAGTGGTTGGCAAAGAAGAAGAGCATTGTCATTGGTCTATGGTGGGGTACATCATCTTCTACTTCTTTTTTTCTTCTTCTTCTTCTTCTTCTTCTTCTTCTTCTTCTTCTTCTTCTTCTTCCCCTCTCTCTCCTCTCAAGTTCATTCATTTCTTTTTTTGCCATTGGACGGCATTGTACTTTCTGATGAATGTGTACTTTGAAATTGGCCAGGATCATAACACAAAAATGGATAACTCTGTAGAAATAGATATTCTAATGATACTTTGCACCTCAGTACGGATAGACCAAGCAAGTATGACAACCAGTTGTCCCAGCAATTGTCTCAGTTAACCTCCTTGAGCATGTGGGCATCTCTCTGACCCAACGCTACATATTCCAAGCTTATTCCGATCTCTGCTGCAGGGGCCAGTTTTGTCAAATTGGCACAGGCGTGAAATATTTTGGCTGGTGCTGCCAACCTTTTCTGTTCGGGAGGTCGAGCTCTGAAAGACACTGCGGATGAACCGCCACGTTGGAACAAAATAGCTCGGAGAAGTACTGGAGGTTTTATAGTCACTTAGTGACTGAACAATATTGTTTTTCCACTCCTATTCAGAACAAAGAACTAAAGTGCATCATTTTCACATATACCATCAAAACCAACAAGGCACGCGTGCATTTCGAGTGTACCATCTGCGACAAGAAACGGTGTTGTTTGGGAGTATTTGGCTCAAGGTTTTCACAAGTAATAATATTTCAAATGTGTGCATGCTGTCACTGAAGATCTCAAAATCCCTGACCTCGTCCTTGAGAGAAATAAACAAAGGAAAGACGCAGTCCTCGTGGAAAATGAACTCATGAAGAGCTTCTGTTGACAGCAGACAGCTCATGAACGCCTTCCGCACCCCCGGCTCCGTATCAATCACAGCGACCATGAGCTTCTTCACAATCTACCAAGAGCAAATACACCAGACGATGCAGAAAGAGTACCGCTTAGCACATGCATCGTCAAAGAGAAAACAAACTAAACCAAGAACCAATTTGCCTTCAGAAATGAAAAAAGACAATTGTCAAAACCAAACATATATCCAACTGGTCTTCACATAAAACACGTTCTCTGGACAGAGTAAACACGACAAATACTGCGCAATCAACAGCAGTCAAAGCACAGTATGAAAGCACAGGACGTGGAGCACAAGGCTAAGGGAATGAAAGAGGGTGGCTAAGGTTGGGAAGGTGAAGGGTGTGCACAAAATGACAAGGACAAGGAGGAGAGGAGGACTTTTATTTTTCTCTTGGCACAAATGGTTAACGGGGACCCCCATTTTCAGGCCCTGGGTATTGAGTCCAAAACTGAAATTAGGGCTTCGGGGTCAAATTTTATGTTTTTCTAGGCTACCAGCCGGGCCGCCCGGGTCCCGGGTGGCCAGCCCGTGCAAGGACTAGAGAAGGTCCTAGCCAAGGTTGCACCCCTGCCGACCGCCGACCGTATTGCAGCCGACCAGTAGGGACGACCCATCAGAAAACAACCATCCACTGTTTTTTTCTCGAATCTGAGTTGGGGGCTGTACTGCTCTTGCTGAGTACAGCCCAAATCCGCTGAGAAACGTTTGGGTATGGGGGGGGCTATGGGGGGGGGTGGAGTTGGAGCATACCTGCAGCTCGGATTGAAAAAAATAAAAATAAAAAAAAATACGGCTGTTACGTGTGAGAACACGCAAGAGAGAGAGAGAGAGAGAGAGAGAGAGAGAGAGGAAACAAATAGCTCCTTAAATTTTATTTGAAAACCCCTGGGGGTCATTTGAGAGGCCCTTGCACATAATTAGCAAGGGCTACCTCACCGTGAACGAGCTACTGCTCATTGCAGAGTCATGGCACGCCAAGTATATATGCTGTTGATTCACATTGAGGTTCGTGTTTCAGGAGTTATGGGACCACTGCGCACGCGAGTTTCTGGGCAGTAGAAGGCCAACTCACCACGTGCTTTCCAGGGCTTCCCTCCACTACTCACCAAATGTGCAAAACTAGAATGAATCTTCTGCTAAAACATGGAACCATACGCCGCCATATGATTTGTCTTTTGTGCAAGTGGTGACGAGTGGAGCAAGGCCCTTAGGGCCACTGCGCGTAGGAAAAGGAAACAAAAGAAAGAGAGGAATGAATCTTCTGCTAGAACAAGACTCATACGCCGCCATATGTTTTGTCTTTTGTGCAAGTAGTGACGCGTGGAGCAAGGCCCTTAGGGCCACTGCTCGTAGGAAAACGAAACAAAAGAAAGAGAGAGCTACGGTAGTAAGTAGTTGTAACGTGTAACCCATACCTGCTGAAAAGCAGACGGATCCAGAACATATATTGCTGGCCTGCTCCATTCTCACATGAAATTTGCTGAACGTCTCTTGAGACGTTGGGACCTTTGCAGATGCACTGGGGTCCTTTGGGAAAAGGACAATTCAACAAGGAAAACGTGTGCTCAATTTTTTTTTATGTGCCCTTCGACATTTTAGAAGGGAGGGGCACCATTGGCTACCTCAGCCAGCCCTCTCCAATTTCTTTTTTACTCTATTTATTGGTGTGCGCGCGCATGGTTGCACGTGCACTAGGCGCCACACGTGCGTAGCTCGCCCGCACGCGATGCGCCGGAGTATAGGGGTGATATAGGGGGTTATGGATAGTTTAATAAGGGTGTTGGCGGCTGTTCGGGGCTGTTGGGGTGGTATATGGGGTATTGGGGCCCGCTATGGGGGTGTTGGTGATATTATTAGGGGTTCTGGACCCCATAAAAAATTTTAAAAAAATGCGGGGTGCCGACGACCCCCGACCAGTAGGTGCTGACCAGCCGACCGGTCGGCGGTCGGCAGCCGACCAGTCAAGGGTCGCCGACGGTCGGGGTGTGCAAAACTGGTCCCAGCAAAAAAAAAAAAAAAAAACTCCAAAAAAGTGTGAGGTCATATCTTATGTTTTTCTAGGCTACCAGCCGGGCCGCCCGGGTCCCGGCTGGCCAGCCCGTGCAAGGACTAGAGAAGGTCCCAGCAAAAAACAAACAAACAAAAAAGTTGAAAAAACAACTCCAAAAAAATCCGAAAGAAAACTATGTTGTGCAGAAAAATAAACTGAACAACTTTTTGCCTCAGGGTCGCATCAAAATTCTTTACCAAATTTAAAATAAAAAGTCAATTACAAAAACGTTTTTTTTATTAATTTTTTTTGGCCCGGCCGGACAAGTAACACCGGGCCACTCTGGTAACCTAGATGGGTTTTTTTTTTTTTTTTTTTTTTTTTTKCCTKTTYTTKTTTTKGTTYAAGGTTGGTGTGTGCCTGTTCTTGTGTTAAGATTTCTGAAATTCCTCAAGATTTCTGAAATTGACATGTTGGTAAATTTCATGAAAATGCACTTTTGCCTTGCTGTTTTACATGTCTTTAATTATACTTTTTGGATTTGTTTTTGCAGTTAGATAGTATGGTCTCCACTCTACGAATTGGTGGCAAGTTTGATTAAAATGAACCTTTGGTTTTCTTATAAATGGCATGGCATGTGGTCTGAAAATTAGGGTCTCCGTTAACCTTCTCTCCCGACAGACCCTTGCAGTTGAAGAGGGGAAGAATTGGGAGATGGGGGATTTATGTAGAATTCAGAGTGGTATAGAGGTTAAATCGGATAAAGACGTCGCAGACAAGCACATTGTCAAAGTAAAATACCACGTAACACATTCATAGAACGGCATGGGCAACAGCTGGGTCTATCGATTGTCTTCTTTTCATTTCCAACGAACCCAGATGGCGTGGGCCAGAGGAACTGCTAGGTGTCTTTTGTTATGTTCTTGAGCACAGGTGAGGTGCTATTGGAAGGAGGAAATGAGACAGCAGGTGAGGGGGCAGGAGGAGAGGAATGATGTAAAGAGTAAAACGAGACACTTTCATCGAGACTTGTGAGATTTTTCGGTTCATATTCCACAGGGAGGTGCAAGATGGGAAGGAGAGCAAGCACATATCGCAAATGGAAGGGTAAGGGCAAGCTATTCAACAGCCCAACAGCAAAATAAAAATTGATGTGAAAGATGTAGGAGCTTGAGGCCATGTGGGCCTCCCAGGTGCAACTAGCCAGGGCCCTGAGTGAAGGTCCAGCCTGGACAAGTATGGCCGGCCAGTAGCGAAGGCCCGGCCAGTGAAAAGTGAGGCCCATCCTAGTTTGGAAAAGGCTGGGTCAAACCAGTCGGAATACCGGGTCAGGTTACCAACTACGTGGTTGGGATCCCAGCAGGCCACAGCCGCTTCAGGAAGGCAGTGGAAGGTAGCGCCTGCACATATCCCAGCCTGGCTGCTCAAGTGAACGTTTGCTTGTACACAGCGCTAGTGCTGGCGAGTGACCAAGGGTGAACGCGGGCAACGACAGCCGTAGTTGGACGACGCCTGATGAGTGGACAAGGCACAAGGAAGGGAAATCCTGGCAGCAGGGGGACTGCAGGGAAATGGGTGTGGGTAGGGTAGGCTAGGTTAGAGAATAGACTGGAGATAGCATTGTGTGAAAGTGTGAGCAGCATAGTACTCTCTACAGCATTGTATATTTGGTAGAGAATAGACTGGTGATCGCATATGCCGGTAGTGAGACCAGGGAGAGCAGAGAACTGTCACTGTTGTTGTGCTGATTGTTGGGATGCGAAAAATGGGTTTTCTTCATCAAGACACGACAGCATTGTCCATTCTTGCACTGGTGCAATCATTCTTTGTCATTTCTGCTAATTGCCCTGTCGCCATGTGAATGCTGGCTGCAATAGTCATTGTGCTTGCAGAATTCATTTTCTCCAGTGCGGTTTCCTTTCAGAAGGATATAAAGAGTGCTGAAGAACAGGAGATGGAGGAATGCAGAAATGTATACTGACTTCATTAGTTACAAACATATAGATGAAAAGAAGGGGATTTGGAGCAGCAAGATGTGGAGGCCAGAGGACGTAGACAGATAGAACAAGGGGAGAAGAAATGAGAGGATAGTAAACAAAAAGGCAACCAGGCAGGCATTCCTATATCCATGTTTCCCTCTGTCCACATGATCTTCTTGGTGTGCCATGAAAGTATTGCATGAGATTAGACATTTTTACTGTCCTTTGCACCATTCCTCAGGGGATTGAACAAGACTTCCCAGCACTCCCAAGCTCTGATAACGCACGTCTCACAACCATGGCAGAAAGGCATGTACTCGAGGCTTGAAACATATGGAGCACAGGCTGGAAAGCAGCACCTCAAATATGGTTGCTTCTATCTTCTCCCATCTTATTGATCTCCGGAAGTCCGGATCACCTGGACTCGGCCTGAACTTAACGACAGATGCAATCAGCTTGCAACTTGTCACAGCAGCTTCCTGTCGAATAAGGGGATCGGCGTCTTCCAGATACAGCACAACCTTCCATGTCTTCTGCTTAAACACTGGAATGGGAAGCTGGAAACACAACGCAAAAGTCACACCCTGTCAGCGGGCGCATGCATACTCTTTGCCCGATGAATCCCAACATAGCAAATAACAAAACACAAGGGGAAAGGACAAAAGGCATGGTTTCCATGACACAATATCTGTACATGTGTGCACTAAAACTATCAACCATGGTTACCATCCCAACTTTCGAACAGCCAGGTGTTGATCCTGTCCAGACAAATTAAAAATACCATCCGTTACACGCCGCGGCTTTGCTTGCATCCATCTTCCTCCACCACCTCCTCATCGTCCCCCTCGTCCTCCGTAACGTCCTCCTCCTCCTCCTCCTCGTCCTCTGCAACCTCCTCTGCAGCCCGCTCTCCCATCCCCTGCCTGCTCCCCATCCTCTGCTGTGTTCTCCTTGGCTATATCCTCTCTCCTCCTACCCCTGCTGCTACCTCTCCACCCGCACGTCCTTCTCATCCTTCACCTCGCGCCATCACCTCTCCCTCCTGATTCGTCCATCCCGTCCTCTTCCGCCATTCATTTCAAACAACCAGGTGTTGATCCTGTCCAGACAAATTGAAAATACCATCGGTTACCTACCGCGGCTTTGCTTGCATCCATTTTCCTCCACCACCTCCTCATCCTCCCCCTCGTCCTCCATAATGTCCTCCTCCTCCTCCTCGTCCTCTGCAACCTCCTCTTCAGCCCGCTCTCCCATTCCCTGCCCGCTCCCCATCCTCTGCTGCATTCTCCTTGGCTACATCCACTTTCTCCTCCTACCCCTGCTGCTACCTCTCCACCCACACGTCCTTCTCATCCTTCACCTCGCGCCATCACCTCTCCCTCCTGATTCGTCCATCCCGTCCTCTTCCGCCATTCATCACCCAAGCAGAAAATAAAAACCGTGCCTCAGCCAAAAAAAAAATAAAAAACAAAATCACCTCCTGATTGGACACCATGGGCTTCTGTGTACTCAACATTCCAGACGAATGTGGAGTGACTCATGGCCAAGCTAGAGAAAAAACAAACAAACAGAAAGACACACAGGCCAAGTTTGGCGAGACAAGGCCTTGGCATGGCCAGGTGGTGCTATGTGAACAGGGTGCCATCATGATTCATGCGGCCCAGGTGATACCATACGGGTTCAGCGGTACCATCTGGAGTGGGCGGCACCCTGTGGGGCATACTACGCAAACTGGGTGGCAGTAGCACACACACGATCACAGAAAAAATAAAAACACAGGCCGCCAAAGTTAGGCACAGCTCATCCCTTGTGGTTGGGTGATGTCATGCAGGTTGGACGGTGTGACACGGCCTTGGCACGGCCAGGTGGTGCTATGTGAACAGGGTGCTATCATGTGGCCCAGGTGATACCATACGGGTTCGGCGGTACCATCTGGAGTGGGCGGCACCCTGTGGAGCATACTATGCAGACTGGGTGGCAGTAGCACACACACGATCACAGGAAAAACAAAAACACAGGCCGCCAAAGTTAGGCACAACTCATCCCTTGTGGTTGGGTGATGCCATGCGGGTTGGACGGCACCATGGAGAGCAGGCTGCACCACATGGAGCAGCTCTCTCTCTCTCTCTCTCTCTCTCTCTCTCTCTCTCTCTCTCTCTCTCAGCTACTGTGCACCAAAGCTCTGCTACTCTCTCTCTCTCTCTCTCTCTCTCTCTCTCTCTC